TGGAGGCCTAGCCTTGTTTTGGTCAAAAGATTTAGATGTCGATATTACAGACAGTTCTACCAACTTCATTGACGCCACCATTAAAACTCACTCCCCTCCCTCCACCTGGCGTTTCATAGGTTTCTATGGGAATTCAGAAAGAAATAGAAGAAAGATCTCTTGGAACATTCTCAAACAACTCTCTTTGGTTTCATCTCTTCCATGGATGCTCATGGGTGATTTTAACGACATTATCACCCCAGAAGAGAAAATTGGTGGTGCTCGTCAACCGCAGTGGCTAATGCATGGATTTAAGGAGGCGATTAATTTCAGTGGTCTACGAGATTACCATTTCAAGGGTTATCAGTTCACCTGGGAAAAGGGCAGAGGAACCCCTCACTGGATTAGGGAGAAGCTAGACCGAATCCTTGTTAATAGTGCTTGGCTGGACAAGTTCGATGGTGCTATAGCAGAATCTTTCGAGGCCCTTAATAGTGACCATATCCCCCTCGCGATCTGGCCCTCTCCAGCAGTTAGAGCAAGGAAACGCAGAAGCTTCAAATTTGAAAACTATTGGTTGAAGGAAGCTCGATGCAGGGAAATTGTTCAACAATGTTGGTTTTCTTCTCAAGGCCTTCAACTGTGCTCCAGATTCGAGATGTGTAGCCACGAGGTTTGGAAATGGGGTAAAGAATATAACAGAAACATGCAGCCCCAAATTGATAGTCTTAAGAGACGTTTGGATTTTCTTCGTCCCAGAACGGATGCCCGGAGCATTCATGATTTCGCAGCTGCCTAGTCCCAATTGCTAAGTCTCCTGAATAGACAAAATCAATTTTGGAAACAGAGGGCGAAACTTTTCTGGTTCAAGGGAGGTGACAACAACACGAGGTTTTTTCATAATGCAGTTAACTAGAGAAGGAGGAACAACGAGATTCTCAGACTTCGGGATCAGAACGGCAACTGGGTTCATCAAGGTACCGACTTGGACTCTCTGGTAAGGGACTATTTCTCAAACATATTCTCGTTGAATGCTGGCAACATTAATCATGTTCTGAATTGCATTAATTCTAGCATCACTAGCTCTCAAAATGATATGTTTTTGAGAAAGTTTACCACCTCTGAAATTAAGAAGGCAGTTTTTAGTATGCATCCCGATAAGAGTCCGGGCTTTGACGGTTTCAACCCGGGTTTTTTTCAATCTTATTGGGATATCTTGGGTGACAGTATTCTAGCTTTCTGTAATGAGTTTATGGTCTCTGGCAAGCTTCCTAAGGACATTAACATAACCCAGATAGTGTTAATTCCTAAAAAATCCACTCCCGAAACCATGGCCGATCTCAGGCCAATAGCATTATGCTCAGTTGCTTATAAGATTCTTGCTAAGGCCTTGGCAAATAGACTTAAAGTTTTACTGAATGGATTAATTTCTGCCAATCAAGGTGCTTTTGTTCCAAGCAGGCTAATCACCGATAACATAATGATTGCATTTGAAATGCAACATTATATGAAACGCAAAACCCAGGGGAAGAATGGCTTAGCTGCTCTCAAACTGGACATTAGCAAGGCCTATGACAGGCTAGAATGGCCTCTCCTGCGTAATATTATGTTCAAAATGGGGTTTGATGCCAGATGGATTAACCTAATCATGGAGTGTGTTTCTTCTGTGAGCTACTTTGTTTTGAATAAAGGACAGGAGATCGGACCCATCATACCTCAAAGGGGTTTAAGGCAAGGAGATCCAATATCTCCCTATTTGTTTATCTTGGTGGCCGAAGGGTTCAGTGCTATGATCAGGGACTATGAGAGAAAAGGCAAAATTCATGGCTTCACAGTGGCCAGAACGGCACCATCCATCAGCCATTTATTCTTTGCCGATGATAGTTTCATTTTCTTCAAGGCATCTGTGGAGGAAGCATCACACTTGCAACAGCTCCTTAAGGACTATGAGAGTGCATCAGGTCAATGCATAAATCTAACCAAATCCTCCCTGGCTTTCAGTAAAAATACTTGTGTATCTGTGAGAGACCATCTAAGCAACATACTGGGTATTCATTACAGTGGTAACAATGGCAACTATCTGGGGCTCCCTATGATAATTGGTAGAAACAAGACTGAAATTCTTAATTTCATCAAGCATCGCATTGTCAGCCGCATTCAGGGGTGGAACCACAGATTTATCTCTAAGGTAGGGAGAGAGATCCTCTTGAAATCTGTTATCCAAGCTCTACCGTCTTATGCCATGGGGGTGTTCCTTCTACCCAAGGGTCTTATCTATGCAGTGGAGACAACCATGAACTCTTATTGGTGGAAAGGAGGTGGCAACAACAACAAAGGTATCATTTGGAAGAATTGGAAGTCTTTGTGCATTCCTAAGAAATGGGGAGGAATTGGCTTCCGGGATCTTCACGGTTTTAATCTTGCTCTCCTTAGCAAACAAGCATGGAGACTAACCAGTGATCCCGACTCCTTGGTCTCCAAAATTTACAAAGCACGTTACTATCCTAACTCTTCTTTTCTTGAAGCTAATTTGGGCGCCAATCCATCTTTTATTTGGAGCAGTTTGATGGCTACACAAGACATAATTCGTAAACACTCAAGATGGAGAATTGGCAATGGTTCTCATACTCGCATCTGGGATGACAATTGGCTGCCGGACAATAACAACCCAAAAATTCAGTCCTTCCCTTTCCCTTTTATGGATAACTCAAAAGGGGAAGACCTCATTGATCCCGCTACTCATGTTTGGGACGAGTCCATCATCCGAGATATATTTACTGCCAGAGATGCCAATTTGATTATGAAGATACCTCTTTCCAACCAACATGTGCATGATAAGGTTATATGGGGTCCCGAAGACAATGGGAAGTTCTCGGTCAAAAGCTGTTATAAGTCCATTCGTGGCGAGTTGAGATCAGAGGATATCAAATATTGGAGCAGATTATGGAATTACAAAATCCCTCCAAAAGTCAAGACATTCTTATGGCAGGCGTGTATTTCTTCTCTACCCACCAAAGACAACTTGAGAAAGAGGAATGTTATCTGTACTGCAAACTGCAACATCTGCAACAGTGGCAACGAGACTATTCTTCATCTCTTTGCGGACTGTGACTTCGCCAAGTCCTGCTGGAGATATCTTCACTTTAATTCTCTTCTTTATATTGCAGATAGCTTTCAGTCGTGGTTGTGCAAAGCCTTGGAGATTTTATCTGACGAGCAGTTCTGCACTTTATCCGTGGTCTGCTGGAATATCTGGAATCTAAGGAACAATATTGTTTGGAAAAATCTTACCATTGAATCGGCTAGTAACTTGGTATCCAGGTCGCAATCCTATTATTCTGCATGGAAAGCAGCGACAACAGAGGAACATCACAACCACAATTCTGTAGAGCCTAAGGATAAGTGGATTAAGCCTAAACAAGGTTATATGAAGCTGAACGTTGATGCAGCCATTAATGCCGAAGATGGTGATATGGGCTTTGGTTGTGTTCTTAGAGATGATCAAGGACAGTTTGTGGCTGCTAGGGGAACTCACTGGAGAGGAACTCTTTCACCAAAAGATGCTGAAGTAGTAGCTATCCGTGAATCTCTAACATGGATCAAATCTCTTAATGTCGACAACATCATAGTTGAGTCCGATTCCCTGCAAGTTGTTCAGAACCTCAAGTCTGATATTGGAGTTTCATCTTTTCATTTGATTTTAGCAAACATTAAAAACCTAATGAGTTGTTTTGCTCATTGTAGTTTAATCTTTACTAAGCGATCAGCGAACCAGGCAGCCCATCTGTTAACTAGGCAGTCTTTTTTTTTGCCTGGATGCTCGGAGTGGTTCACGAACCCTCCTCCTATCATTTGTAATACTCTTTGCTTGGATTTGAATTAATGCTTTTATCGTTGGTTTTCAAAAACATAATTTGCCACAATATAACTCTTTGTTAAACTCATACTTGGGTCATTTACTCATTTCCAGATAAGCCCAGCCCATATGAGGACACTACCTTGGCGAGTAAGACTCGCACAGTTGACCACTCTCCTGCCCTAAATGTGAAATCTCCAAAAACGGAAGTCCCATACTCGCTCCCCAATTCTCACTCTCACTCTCTCTCACTTACGCTGCTGGAACTGGGTATATACAGCTAGTACTCTCTCTCTCTCTCTCTATATATATTATATATGTATATCTATTAGTTTAACTGTATATAAACACAAGAACATGTGCATTATACTTTACTTCAGCTCTAATCATATGCATGATTAATCACTAATCACCTGTTAAACTGTTTATTTTGAATCAATAATCAGTAGTTGTATGATTGATATCGATTCTTCAAGTTTTTCCTGCTATTTAACTGGGAGCTTCATTTCAAGCTTAAAGTTTTCTAAAACATGTACTGATATTGTTGATTAGTTTGTGTTGCTTAAGGTGGAAAAGGAATTGGATGAAATTCGCGGAAGAGATTTTGGGTTTAGTCTGTTAGATGAATTCATTTTCCTGCATTTAGGAATTGATTAATATATACATCCAAATTGTGGTTTGAGCCTTATTAGCTCAGCCAAATTGTGGATGGCTTAAATTCTATATCTTGTAAGTTAGCGAGTTTTGGAAGCAAGTAATAACCAGGAAAGGTGTTAATATTGCACAGAACATTTCACTGTCTTCATGTCAATAATTTTGCTTGAAGAATTGTAAAATCGCTGGCTACTTTGGATGATTGCTGATTTTGAACAGAAATAATGTTTATATTGTTAGTTGGAAATCCATGCAGAGATTACCTTTCAGTTTTGTTGGCACGTAATTGGCCAGACTAGCCACATGGCCAACACTAGATAATTGGTAAATACAAGAACTTCAAAAATACTTAAGCAGCTACATTTATGCTTTTTAGGTGACGAGCAAAACCTGCAGTCACTTGTGACCCTAGCCGGCAAAGGACTACAAGGAGCTAAACAAGTCTAGGTTACTCATAGTTGACCGGCTCAAACCAAGAAGGCTGGGATTCGAACTCGTGACTTTGTGGTTACAAGTTTGTATCCTTAGCCATCTTGGATGGGGTTACCCCCGCTGCATAATGCTTTTGTGTTTATACATGGTGGTTTATACTTTTATCTCTTGAAACATTGCTGGTATACTTTTCTTCTAAGCTATTTAGTTATAAAGCACAATTGTTTTCTATTCTTCCTGCAGTAATTTCCAGCCACTTCATCCTAAAAACCTAAGTCTATTCTTTGTCTTCATGCTTTCCTTAGAACTTTGAAATGATCCTGAAAGCAAAGTTCTGTCTCTGGGCTTGAGGCTAACATCTATTTGAACTGTGTAACTTGATTGCTTTGATTGCACAACTAGACATGGATGCGTGCAGTCTACTGGCTTACAAGTAGAGATATTCATAGAAGGGAGAAAAAAAAGAATATCCCTTTAATGGGTATTGACCTTGAGCAGCCATCAGAAGAACTTCACAGGGACAAGGGCAATGAAGTTTGTTGTACTGAAGAGGCAGCTGCTAGTGCTGCAATGACAGTTCAACATGCCCAAGAGAACTTTAGGCCTAAAAATACACATCTCGTTTCTGATGGGGATAGGGTTCCACTAAGTCATCATAAGTTTTTGGAACCTCGTGATGGTATGGAGTTTGAATCCAAGGAGGATGCCTTTTCGTTTTATAAAGAATATGCAAAATCCATTGGCTTTTCTGTAATAATAAAGGCCAGCCGCCGATCAAGAATATCTGGAAAATTTATTGATGCAAAATTTGTTTGTACCAGATATGGACGCAAACAAAAATCTTCTGTATCTGAAACTCTAGAAGCTGTTGCAAATATTGATGGCACAAACAATATCCCAATCAAGAAAAAGAGAGGCAGAAAAAACCAATCTTTGTCAAAAACAGATTGCAAAGCTTGCTTGCATGTTAAACGAGGGTCAGATGGAATGTGGGTGATCCACACCTTTATAAAGGAGCATAACCATGAAATTGTTCCAGTCCAGTCCTATAATGTTCAAGGCCATAGGAACTTGGATCAAGGTCACAGTAATGCTGATGCAATGCATGCTGTGCGTGCCAGAACAAAAAATATGTGTGCATCAATGCATAGACAGTCTGGTGTGGCAAAAAAGCTTGAGAATAATGGCAGCAGAAATGTTGGTGCACAGAATTTGGCTTTAGATGAGCGAGATGCAGAAGTTATGCTTGAATATTTTTTGCATATGCAAGATGACAATCCCAACTTCTTTTATGCATTAGATTTGAATCAGGAACAATGCCTAAGAAATGCTTTCTGGATTGATGCTAAAGCTAGGCTTGATTATCATCACTTCTGTGATGCTGTGTTTTTTGACACTGCATATATCAAGAATGAGTATAAATTGCCTTTGGCTACATTTATTGGTGTGAACCATCACTTTCAGTTCCTACTGTTTGGCTGTGCTCTAATTGCAGATGAGAGTAAATCTACATTTGTTTGGCTGATGCGAGCATGGCTTAGAGCAATGGGTGGACAAGCTCCTAAAGTGATACTGACTGACGAAGATACAGCTCTGAAGGAAGCAGTTGCTGAAGTTTTCCCAGATTCTCGCCATTGTTTTTGTTTGTGGCACATATTGAGTAAAATTCCAGAGAAGCTTGGTTCTGTCATAAGATGGTGTGAAAAATTTTCTACTAAGTTTAATAAATGCATTTTGAAGTCAGTAACAGATGAACAGTTCCAAAAGAGATGGTTGAAGATTGTTGATAGATTTGATTTAAGAAATGACTTGTGGATTCAATCACTGTATGAAGATCGCCTGAGGTGGGTTCCGGTGTATATGAACAGTATCTTTTTGGCTGGAATTTCTACAATGCAAAGATTGGAAAGTGTTAGCTCCATTTTGGATAAATGCATGCAACGCAAAACTACATTAAAGGAGTTTCTCGACCAGTACAAAAATATATTGCAAGAAATGGGTGAAGATGAGGCTAAGGCTGATTTTGAGACATGGCATAGAAAGCCGGTATTGAAATCTCCCTCACCCTTTGGAAAACAAATGGCAGCATTGTACACTCATGCAATATTTAAAAAATTCCAAATTGAGGTTTTGGGAGTTGTTGCATGTCACCCTAAAAGAGAAAGTGGAAATGATGAAACTGCAACATTTAGAGTGCAAGATTTTGAGGAAAATCAAGACTTTATTGTATTCTGGAATGAGGAGACATCTGACGCTTCTTGTTCATGCCGTTTGTTTGAGTATAAAGGTATTCTGTGTCGGCATATAATGATTGTTCTTCAAATGGCTGGTGTATACAACATCCCCTCCAAATATATTTTAAAGCGATGGACAAAAGATGCAAAGAATAGAGAAACGGTGAGGCTAGTAGATTCGATTGTGTCTAGGGTTCAACGATATACTGATATATGTCAACGAGTTTTTAAGCTAGGTGATGAAGGGTCACTATCTCAAGAAAGCTATAATTTGGCATTCATTGCACTAGAAAAGGCTTTGAGAAAATGTGAAAGAGTGAATAGCTCAATTCAATATGAAGTGGAGCCTTGCTCTCCATCAAATCAGGATCTTAATAATTTTGAAGAGGCAATTCAAAGTAACTGTGCGCAGAAGACAAATGAAAAGAACGAATCCAGAAGGGATAAGGTCATAAATCATTTAATATTCTTTAAATTATTTGACTTGCCATTTCCAATTAATATGAATAGACACTTTTAATGGTTTTTACATCTTGGTTATGCTTTAGGTTCAATTGGAGCAAGAAGGACTAGCCATTTCAATACATGATAGTTGGCAGCAAATGGTCAGTTCTGTTGTAGCTTTGCACTACAAATGAAAATTATTACTAGTAAAAATGACATATGGAAATCTAATGCTCACATGTTAAAGGATCAGTGAAAAATATGAGTGCTCACTGTAGAATGTTCTTACCGAACACATGAAACTTTACAGGGGGTGGTATGATGAATTGATTAAGTATTTACACAATGTACTGGGGATAAATATCTAGCTGTGACATTCACGTTTGTCTTTAGAATCATCTTTGATCTTTTTGTTTTAAATTCTTTATTTCAGGGGCAGCTGAACTCTAGAGTTGCAACCCTTGATGCCTACTTTAGTAGCCACCAAGTTGTTCCAGGAGTGGTAGGGATCTTTTCTGGTTTTGATCGCGATTTCCCGGTTAAAAATTTGTCTCCTTTGGCTTTTAAAGTCTATGTTATATGTTTTCTCATAGTCTGTTTGTTGCAGGGACAAATGAATACAATTTCTTCAATCTACAGCAATCAACCAGGCATACAGGAGCTGGTAATGCACTTCAAACCTTAAAGTGAAGTGTGTTTCTGAGTTTACGGTTCTGTTTCATACTTTAACAGTGTACTTTGATTCATTCTTCTCATAGGGTCAATTAAACACAACAGCTCCAATGGACAATGGTCCGTACCTCACTCAACCAAGATTGCATGGACTGGTATGGTACAAAAATATGTCTTTAAGGAACATACTTTGAAATGTGCTAGGCTACCATTATAATAATGTGAAAATAGCAATGCAAAAGTACTTATTTTATGGAATTTTCAATATTCAGTATAATTAACTTTATAGTCTCTCCTTAAACTTGGAGTTATTTAGGTAGCAGCTATTGACAAAGGCCCTGTTTGGTAAAATAGTTAGCCTATCAGCCAATTTTGGCTTATTTGACCACTATTAGTAGTTTGGTTTGGTTAAACAATCAATATTAGTGTTTGATTAATTAGCTTTTTGTAACAACTTATTGCTCTAAAATTTTAAAATTCAAAAAGCTGCTCAAAATAGCTTTTTCGATCAGCTTTTTGAGAAAGTCATTTTGTATGCAAACAGGTAACAGTTTACAACTAATTTACCAAGCACTTTTCTACAAGCCGCTAATGATACTAGTCAAACCCACTAACCCAATCAGCTAACAGCTATCAGCTAACAACCATTTACCAAAAACCCCCCAAAGAAAACAAGAAATGACAACTCATATTACTCAGCTTTTGGTTCTCAAACTACAAGAAAGGAATCCATCGTTTGCTCTAATATGAAAATCGAATGCATTGTGTTTCTCCCCGGGCTTAAAACATCCATTCTCTTTTGTGATGTGCGATAACAATCTCTTGTTCATTCTTGCAGACGCAGTTACATTTCAGACCCCAAAGTCTGCAGAACTATTTTGAAATGCCAGAAAGTTTGCAGGATCTGGTATGATATATACCTTTCGGTCCCCTGTATTTATGCTTGTATTTTGTCACCCTTTGCCATAACTTCTTTGTTCAGTGATCATTCTAGCACGAGTACAACGGGGATGCTTTGCCCAACATTCGGTAGCTTTTGCATACTGCATTTCCCGCAACCAAAGTTAGCCGTGTTGTAGTTTTGTACAGAAGGTTATATCACTGTTATCCAGCTTCAGACATCAATGGCTCTTATCAGGTAGATGCATGCTGTATTTTCAGCTTCATGGTCAATAGATCTCATTAAGTTATGCAGTTATTTCTAGTTTAAGAAGAAATGGGGGAGTGCTTATCAGTGCAATTTTCACTTTGACATGTGCAGGGGAAATCAAGTTCATTGGGGGAGTTACCTTTGATTAGCCCATTAAAATGTACAATTCAACAATGCACTTATGTGCTCTCTCAACTTGTATTTTCTGATTAAAGGCAGAATTAAAATCCCTATCTTCTCATTGCAATGATTATATGAGCACAAAGCATCGAATTAGTATACAAATGATGTATTTTTAGTATATTAAAAATGTACGGAGTAACTTATATTAGCGGTTTGCATTACAAGATGGATTATGGTCCATGGTATAATGATTGAGTAAGATATAATTATATTATGGATCATGGTCCACATGGTAATGTGGACCATAAATAAATGTTCATTTTTATTATATTGAATATTTACTTTTAATATACTGAATGTTCAATTTTTGACATTTTACTTAAAAATGAATCTTCATTACACAAAAAAATGAACTTTCAGAAAATGAACATTCAATGTATAAAAAATTAAATCTTCATTATACTAATAATGAACAGTATGTCAATGATCCATCTTGTAAGGTGGACCATGGTTCACGGTATAATGATTGTCTTGTGAGCTGGCCTAATGCGTGAAATTTTTAACAAGTTGTGGAGTAAGTCAATTGTTATATTGTGGATCAGGATCTAGCATGTGTATGATAAACCATGTCGAAATCATAACACATTATGTATGTACATAATATTAACTAATTAAAAGTACATAATATATTAATTACATGCAAGATGCAATACATAATTTGGTTGACCCATATTGATACTCATCCAAATCTAAAGTAATAACAAGCCAGCTTGGTTGGCGTAGTGGTCATACTATCTTATCTCTTAAGAGAAGTTTGGGAGTTCAAAATTTTTCTTATATTGAAAGATCAATATGGCAAGCATTATATCTTTTAAAATTAGGCTAGACTAAAGATGACAATTTGTGCCCTCCCCTACGGGGACAGGGATAGGGATATCCCTCCCTGTCCCGTACTTGAGATTTTGACTAAGAGTTGATCAGGAACGGGGATTCCCCATCCCCACCTAATTCTTTGCAATGACTGGTATGAAAATTATTTTTAATTTCCCGCCGAGGATGGGGTCGGGGTTTCGGGACCGGGGACGGAAAGTATGTTCTCCGCTTCAGCCCCACCCCATTACCATCCTTAGGCTAGACCAGTGCGAAGCGAATGGAGATTAGTTTAAATATAATATATTATTATTTTAAAAGATTTTATGTTAGCTTTGGTGACCAAAAACATGATATTTTTCTATTCTAATATGTGTTCCGGTCACGTTTTCCAATTAAAAGAAAAAACAAAAAGGAGAAGAGACGGAACATATCCAAATATCGGCCGCATGTGGTGATTAGAAGTGTGTTCAACAACTGAACAGAACAGAAGAACATCACCAACTAATTAACCATTTAGGTTTCAATATTTGTGGTGCTGACCAGTAGTGTGGCTATTGTCTACCGGATCGGAATTATTTAGGTTGCTTTTCTTCCAAAAATAATGCCCGTTTATGTCAATCCGATGTGTCTTCCAATTCATTCAACTATTATTTGTGCGTGTTCTACTTAAACGTGACGTAGCACCAACTTTCAGCTGGCATCTTCTTGTTCACCTGTGCCCATCTATCTTTAATTTGCAACTACACAACCAATTACTCCAAATCTTAATTCATCAGATCAACTATTCCCATCCAACATATATATCAATAAGGGTATGTATCTTTTTTCGATACAATATAAATTTTTAAATAAAAGAAGTGTATATGGTCACGTCACATCAATACAATCTGTTATCAAGAGGGATGAACGCCTTCAATTTTGATGAATCCATAATGTGAAGTCCAGAATTTAGGAGGGGTACGGTGTTATTTATTAATTGTCATCCAATCTGCACTACACTCATTTAATTTGCTTATCGTGAATATGTATACGTGAATTGTGATACTACAACGAAAAGAAATCAAACCAGAGAAACCAATTCAAAGCTAGAAGTGTGTGCGTGGTCACGTCATGCCAAACACAATCGGTTGTCAAAAGGGATTAATTAATTACCTTCTGGTGGATAATTTATAAAAACGTCAAAAATTTCATTTATTGGTTATATTGTCATTCAATATGCACACTTATTTGTTTTCTGTGAATATTGTGTGATAGTATATATAGTCCCAACCTCTTTTGATAGGGATGCACAAAATTCATTCTATTAATATATAAACATAAGATATAAATAGTAAACTAATATTTGAAAAGAATACATTGAACTGCATGATTCTAGTAATGGCTAGCTATAGCTTTCACTTAATAGGCAAGCAAATAGTAGGAGTAGTGTATTTAGGGGAAACCCATTTTAGTCTGATTATGGCCAAGTCTTATTCTTCAACGAATGAATCAAGGTTCAATATTAACAATGTTCAATGTTTCTATAGATATGTATTTGTACTTTGAAGATATATAAAACGATAATAAAATATTAAAATGTTTGACTTTATATTTTGATTGCGAAGTAACACTGCTGGCTCATATATGTTTCGGGACAATTGATTTAATTTGTTCTTATCCATGTCTCTTATTATTTGTTAACCTGATTAGAAATGGGGTTATATATATATATATATATATATATATATATAGGGTCAGGTTCCTGTGAGAACAAGTAGGTCTTTCCGTGCGGTCAGTGCGGCATACACCATTAGGTATGCATAAATGCACCACACAGTGTTTGAAAATACATCATTATGTGTGGTGTATTTTTTTATTTTTTTTTTGTGGTGCATTTTTTGGCATTTCATTCTGGTGTATTCTCGAACACTGTATGGTGCATTTATGCATACCTAATGGTGTATGCTGCACTGACCGCACGGGAAGACCTGTTCTCACAGGAACAAAAATCTATATATATATATATATATATATATATATATATGTTAATGTTCCAGTGAGACAACATCTTCCTGACAGAGTCTACTACAAGAATGCACACACTATATTGTGTGCACTCATGTTGGGCAAATTGCACACATTCTTGTTTGTGTGCATTTGTACGTATAGTAGATTGTGTGCATTCATGTTGTGTCTTACAGTCTCACGAGAAAATGTTATCTCATTTGATTTTATATATATATATATATATATATATATATATATATATATATATATATATATATATATATATATATATATATACTTGGACAGCTTTTATAAGAATAAGTATAAAAGGAGGGAACCCGCACAGGCTTAGCTCAATGGTTTAGTGGGCAGTATTTGGGATAAGAGATCAAGGTTTGAATTTTGGCGGTAACAGTGTGAAAATTATGTCCAAAGTGAGTAGATTCCTTGTGCATGTACACCGGCATTTGGCCAAAGGAGGGTAGATTTTGGCTTCTCATAAAAAGTGTGGATTAATCTTATCTGTTCATCTAATATGATATTATTATTACCATTTGTCCACACTTCTCATAGAAATTAAAGTATTGTTCTATTGGGAGTCCTGTCTGCTTTTACACTCCCTTTTAAATGAGACTTTTTTTCTTTTTATCTTCTTTTGAAAAATTAGTTTATATGATTAAAATACTCAATCTCATTTTTTTTTTTTGTTTTATAAGAAGAGGCGTATATTGCAGTTGATAATTGTGTACTAAAATTTTTAGATGTTGATTAACATTTTGTTGCAATATATATGTTGATTTGCATGGGGTAAGATTATATTATATCAAGTACCGTGAGTATAACTTACTAGTAAACTACACACCTTTGCATGATTTGAATATTGAAATTTTGGAAGAATGACCAGGGATCGAATCTCATCAGCGACAGTGTGGGAGCTACCTCTCAAAGTGAGGGGGGTTCTTTGTGCGCAGTGAGCACCGGTCTAGCCTCTGTGGTTCATGTTCAGTTGAGTTACCATGATTTACATCCTCCCAAATGCTCTGTCGGGTCGGAGTGTGGGGGGCTCTTAGGGTTGGGGTTCAGCCTTTGGAAGAATGATTTGAATATTGAAATCTCTTCTCCCAAAAAGGTTGAATCTCCAACCCTAAGGACCCCACACTCCAACCCCTGACAGAGCACGTGGGAGGATGTAAATCACGGTGACTCAATGGTTCAGTAGACAAGGCTAAATGCCGGTACGCACAAGGAATCTGTTCAATCTCTTCTCCCAAAAAGGTTGAATCTCCAACCCTAAGGACCCCACACTCCAACCCCTGACAGAGCACGTGGGAGGATGTAAATCACGGTGACTCAATGGTTCAGTAGACAAGGCTAAATGCCGGTACGCACAAGGAATCTGTTCACATTGGACATAATTCCCACACTGCCGCCACGAGGTGAAAATAAAAGACAAAAGAATCTCTTTCTGATCTATATATAACTTTAATTCTATACACTAATACTAAACTAAAAGAAAAATTGTAAATATTTGAGCCAAGTCTTATTAAGTAAATCAGTCATAAAATAATATATATGGAGTAATTATTAATAGCTAGTAAATGATGAATTTTCGTGAATGAATAGTGGGTCATAAAATCAGATAAAAAAAGTGTGTTTCTTCACCGATGAAAGTGTTGTCTTGTTTATGTTAATGGAAGATCGACCGAGCTATATATGATTTGATCCATTTTAAAATCTATAATTTTGTTGGCTTGTGTCCATTATATGGTCCTCTAGAGGTGGAAACAAAGTCATCCTTCCAACAACAAAGTGCTTGTTCTTTGAAGACATGGGTTGAATTGCTTGATGAAATTGTCCATCCTGTATATCTATCTATATATGCATGGTGCGCTGAACCTTTTTTTTTTTTTTTTTTTTCTTTATCTCAACCCTAAGTCTTTATATCCAATTGGCCTTTACTCATGTATAGCACTCTTTTTGGTGATATATACAAAAGTAGTATTGGACTTCTTCTCAAGAAACCAACTAATAATAGTGCGTTCAGTGGCGCTTTGATTCTTACTCATATGGAGTTTAACTTTACAAGACAATGATGGTTGGCCAATAGGGTATGATTTAGTTTGAAGTTTGATTGGATTCAATTTTAATCAAAGAGTAATTTTATTTGGAGAGTTATATATATAATTATAATAACGAATAAATTTTACTGTTGGTTCTTGATTATTATACGGGAATTACATTTAGTTATTGACTATTAAATTTTTTTTATTTAAGTGCATGACTATGTAATTTGTATCACATTTGGTCCTGCCGCTTAACTTTCCGGCCAACTATTGTCGGAAGTGCACTCCTTCTGTGAGAAGCCAA